CCGGGGGGCAGCAGGAAGGGAAGCGGGCACTCTCTTAGGGGGGGTCTCTGGATCCCAGGGGTGCCCTGGGGCAAACCTCTCTGGTTTCCCAGATGTATGAGGAGCGCCAGCACCCCCACCCCCACCCTAATGGCACAAATCTTCCCGGTGGACAAGCTCTGCCCCCTCCCCAATCCCCTCGGAGCCTCCAGAGCAAGTGTTCCCTTCACAGCAAAAGCAGCTGAGTCCAAAGATGTCACAGAAGCTGTGGGACGAGGAGGCGCCCCCGCCTTGAGCCCCGGCCTCCGGTCACCACCCGTGCTGCTGCGCCAACAGAGGCCATCGAAATGCAAGTCTGACGCTCAGCCCAGGGAGCTGGAGCTAGAGGTCAGACCAGCAACAGCTTGACTCACTGGTGTCTCCGGAATATCAATAGGGGACACGGGGACACAGCGGGGAGATGAGGCTTTGGAACTTCTCGCTGTGCGAGGGACAGGACATCCTTCAAGGAGCAGGCCTCACCCACCGCCCCCACCCCTTCTTGTCACAACCAGAGAGGCCCTGGTATTCCCACCCTGCAGGCACAGGCCTGGATGTGCCCAGGATGCCGGAAGCACCCACCAGAGGAGACCAGAACCGAATTCCCCAGGTGACCCCATGGAGAGGACCCATCCAGGAGCCGACCTGTGTCCTTCCTGCCACATTCACCGGAAGTGGGGGGACCTTCTGCTGCATTCCAATTCCACTCCTGCTATGTTCCAGCTGTGTGGCCTCAGGGGAGTCACTTAACCTCTCTGAGCCTCCGTTTTGCCATCCATATAATGGAGCTGTCTTGAGGGCTCAATGAGTTCACATGAATCAAGTATATAAAACAAGATCTGGCCCACAGGAGGACTCCATAAATACTACCTACTAATATTCATTCTCCTGTCGCCCACACAGGAAGCCGGGATGCTACTTGATGCATCCATTTGACCTTAAGTGGGTCCCTTAACTCCCCTGAGCCTTCCTTTTCCCCATCCATGAAATGGAGCACGCCTACAAGTAAATGGAGGCCGACGTGGGGCCTCAGGGGCAGAGAAAAGCTGTGAGGGTATAAAAGCTTATGCCCCAGACCCCCACCCTGAGAGGGCCGGGGACGGTGGTGGGAGGCAGTGAGGGGCAGGGCCATGTCTGTACCGCCCCCTCAGGCCTGTCTCTCCCTCCCCAGGTGACTCACTCGCATCATCTCCGGAGCTCAGGTGGGGCCTGCTTTGCATGCCTAATGCCAGGAACTGTGGTTGCCAGCGCCGCAGCCTGGCAAGGAGGAGGGAGTCCAGGCATTCACGAGGGGGAAGTGCACCAGATGCCTCACACGAGCGTGCACACACATGCCAGCCTGTCCACGGACACCCCTAGGGAGGCAGGCCAGCCGGTCACGTGCCCGGAAAATCACACACGCGCGCCCCTCGCTCCCACATGTGCCCTCTCCTAGCTGCCTTTGGAGCTCACTCACCTCACTGTTCTGTCACCACGAGCCCGCTGTCCTGTAAGAACCGGGCTGGCCTGGGCTAATCTGGCTTCGTCACTAGCCCTGTCCCGGAACATGGTGGGTGGCTGCAGTCAGGGGCCCCTCAGACCTTCCAGCTCTCCCCAGGCCCCCCCTAGGAACGGTCAGGGAGCAGGGAGGGGGTGGCCCAGGCAGCCGGGTCCCTGGTAATAACCCTCTGCTGTGTGTTCCTGAGCTCCCTCATCAGCGGGCCAGAAGCCCCTCCCGTGCTGGTAACAACCAGGTTTACCTCCCATTTCACAGATGAGAAAACCAACACTGAGCAGCTGAGTGACTTTCCAGGGCTCTCAGGGCCAATAAGTGGCCAAGCCAGAGCCTGGGTCCGTTGCCCAGAGCTGGCCCGTTAACCACACCTCTGTGATCCAGGCTGGGAGAGCCAGATGGACAGCATGGGGTTGAAGGGCCTGGGTCTGACCACCTGGCCCCAAGTGCTGCTCCAACACCTCACTGTGTGAGCCCGGGCAAGCCACCTCACTCCTTTGGGCCTCAGTTCCCCCATCTGAAAAATGGGAATAAAAACACCAGGCCCACAGGGCCATCACCAGGATTCATGATTGTGGAAGGAGGGTGCCTGGCATAGGGCAGCGCTCCGTCAAGGGTCTCAGGATGGCCCAGTGCACGATGGAGAGCACGGTGTTAATGGGGCTGCAAAATTCAGGTCCAGGGCTTCCTTTATTGCCCAGTGAGGGCTCTTGGGTGCTACCCAAGAGGTTCCCACGCAGAGGACAGAGCTGGGCTTCAGTCCCTGGTCCTCCACATCCTGGTTATACGGCCTGGGGAAAATGACCTCCTCTCTCTGGCCTCAGTTTCTTCATCTATAAATTGCACCCAGTTAGGCTCCCCTACAGGACCCCAAGCCCGTACAGCAGGCACCCAGGACCTGCTAGCCAAGCTCTCCCCTCGGCTCTGATGGGCATCCTCAGCCTGGCAAGCACGCCGCCCCCCCACCGCTCTCTGACACTCCTCTGAGCAACTCACAGATGATTTATACTTCAGAGGATGAATCAATACAATATACGGCCAAAGACATCTTTAATCTTTCACAGGGATTAGGCTACAAGGTACAGCAGTCTCTTTCTACAGGCCGCTCAATTCTGATTTCAATTTGGCCAGCTGGAGCACGGCTTTCTCCTTTTCTTTTCCCCCCGCCTAAAGACGTTCCTCCAAATCAAATTTCATTTAGCAGGTGGGGTGGGGAGACCGAGCCGCCCGAACACGAGGGCAGGCTCAGCCGGGGCCCTGGGGCCGCAAGGGGAGACAGCAGGAAGGACTGAGGACATGGGAGGTCGGGCCAGGCAGGAGGCCGGGCCCTCGGCGACCGCACAGGGCGCTGGGAGGGGCATCTATGCCGGGGGGTGGGGGGGCCCCGAGCTGCAGGCCGTAGCAAAACAGCTCATTCTCTTACTTTTCTAGAATTCCTTTTTGAAAATCTTGAGCAGGCTTCGTACTGATTCAATGCTTGTGGAAAATTCAAACGCTAGTCTGAGTTTCAGCCAGAACGCAATACCTAGACTTCACCCCAATGGGATCTCCCGCGCTTAACATCTCAACACGTCAGCACGTGTCCCCCCCCCCACCCAGGCTGTGTGTGTGCGCACACGCGCGCACCCATGTGTGACTGTCATGCCCCATCCGAGCGGGCAGAAGATGGAGTGATGAATACAAACACAGTTACGCCATCTAGTCCTGGAGCCAGACAGCCTGGGCTCAGATCCCTTGTCCACCTCTCACTTGTATGGCCTGGTGCCAACTAGCACGGAGCCTCTCCATGCCTCAGCTTCCTCCCCAGTAAAATGGGGGTGCCTACCTCATGGGGTAGGGAGGATTACCCAGAACAACAGGTGTAAAACAGGTGCTCAGTGTGCCAGGCACATAGGGAGAACTTTGGGAGTACCAGGACTGGCTTCTAATACCTTACGGCAGGGACTGAACGTGACTGAACACGAAAATTCTAGACCTTCCGTCCCTGCCCGCACCTAGCACTTCTGTCCCCAAATCCTGGAGAAGTTGCACCTTAAAGAGAAAGGCAGTGGGCTTGTGTGGGAACAGATTCAAGCCACTGAGGACGGGCACCGCCAGGGCAGGGTGGGTGGGGCCAGCCCGGAGACAGGCACCGGTGTCTGAGCAAAGCAGGGGAGGACACGTGGGCAGCCGGAGAGAGGGGGCTGTGGCACCAGGGCCTGAGGCTACCAGGGGGACCCCAGGGAGCTGCTGCCTACCTGCCTGGAGGTGAGAGCGGGGCTCATCTACCTCATGCTCCTCCCCTCTGCCTGGCCAGCAGCCGGGGTGGGGAGTGGCCTGGAGCCGCAGCCATCGGTCACTGCCACCCAATTTCCGTCCTCTCCACCAGGTTACAGGCACCGAGCTGCTCTGGCTGTACAATTAAAGGGGCTTATCTGAGATTTATAGCAGGATTATGCCTGCAGGGTGTTACCAACGCCAGCCTCTGGATACTCTGTGGTCCTTAGGAAAAGCAATTAGAGTCCCGGGGTTATACGGGTATAAATATACAGATGCCATCCTCCAAGGTCGAGGGCGCCACAGTGAGCTATTTTGAGAAAGAGCCTTGGGAGAGGCCATGGGCCCCTCTGCCGGGAGCTGGGTCTGTCAGGAGGGGGAAGAGCCTCTCTGCTTCCCCCACACCCCATCCTCTCTGAACTGTCCCTCCTATCAAGGCTCACCCAATCCAGGCGGAGCCCTCAGCCCAGGGGCCTGACCGCTGACCCGGACCCCTCCCACCACAGCCCCATGCAGCTGTGCGCCCCCCTCAGCCGGGCCACCCATCGCCATTGGAACTAAGTGGCTCAGGCTTCCAACTTGCCAGAGTGTTAACCCTTGCTGTGCCTGCCTCGTACTGCTTGCTGATACCTAAAAGCTTTATCCCTGGAGCTCCTGAGGACAATTAAGGGAATGCAGCAAGCTTAATGGGGGGAGGGGTGCCCGACAGTGAGTGGGGGAGACCTCCAGGACAGCACATCACCTCCCCAGGTCCCCACATCCCACCCAGGGGCACCTCCTTCCCTGAAGCCACAAGCAGCCAGCACAGCATCGCCAACTCCATGTAAGACATGGCCCCTTCTCTCACCCCACCCCACCCCCCTCCACACACAGCTCAATTCCTCAAACAAGCCTGGCTCCAAGATCCTGGCTGATCTCCCAGCCCCTGGGTCCCTGAGACCCGCCCCTAAACAAGACCACCTCCATCCCCACCCCCTTCCCCTTCTCTCCCCACCTGAGAACAGCAGCGGTCCCACTGGATCCCACACCTGAATACTGGCGGTCCCTCTGTCTGCCTGGCCACGTCTGCCAAAGTTATTCCAGCCACCCCCTGCCCCTGGGAGTTACCCAGCTGGTCCGGCGAGGCCACAGGCTGCTCCCCAGTGCTCAGGGGAGAGACTGAGGCTCATGAGGGGAATGGCCTGGGGCAGGACCGTTGTGCCCTGACATCCCCCTGCCCCCGAGCATGACTCACCGTCCTCCCGGGACTTCTGGATGAAGGCCTCTACGCCGCTCTCGCCGTAGCTGCCCTCCGAGGCCAGCGTGGACACGTAGTTCCACTTGAGGGCGCGGACGATGTCCACCATGGCCTGGGCCTGGTACGTGTCCGAGGGCACCACTCGGGAGAAGAAGTCGTAGCGGCTGTTGTCACTCAGGTCGGGGGCTGTGGAGGCGTAGCTGATCTGGGGGATCTGGGGGCGAGAGGGGCCGCTGATGGGGGGCTGCTGGCACCCCCACCACACCCAGCCAGCACCACACCACTACATGCCAACCTCCTTCCCGTCCCCACCGCCTTGGGAAGGGCCAGGGCACTGGCTCCTCGTGTCCTGGGGGAGACCCTATGATATAGGCTGGATGGGTTCTAGCCCACTTGACAAAGGAGGAAACTGAGGCCCAGAGGCGGCGAGCAACTAGGTGGTCGGCTCTCCTCTGGCTCCAGCCCGGAGTCCCAGTGCCTCCCCATGTCCTCTCCATTCCCAGCAGGAGTGAAGCTGGCATCAGGGTGAGAAGTGACTGGCACGTCAGCCTCCAGCCCTCCTCTTCTAGAGAAGTGTCCCAACCGGCCTCCCCTGGGTCCTGTGGCTGGTAGCCCCCCACCCCCCACCCGCTGCCACACACCATGAAGTCATACAGGATTACATACATAAACACACAGCAGAGCCTCTGCGTGCCTCCATTTACATAAAGAGCTGAGAGTCATTTGGCCCATCATCTCCCCCTTGGCAGCCGCTCATGTCACCACCCAGCAGACCCCGTCCCCACAGCTCCTTTGTCCTACCCAGCTCAGAGGACACAGAGCCCGGGTCCCAGCTCCCACTCACCCCACAGATGGAATTGCAGGAGGACAGAGTGGACGGGGACGCCCCCACACCCCAGGAAGTCCCTCTCTCCACAGCCCGGGACACAGAGCACCAGACAGGCATCAACAGCAGACTCCTGCCCCAGTTCTCCACAGAGCACCTTCCCACACCCACAGACCCCACCCGGGGCCCTCCCCAGGCAGAAGCGAGATGCAGAGCCCTTTAAGCTGTCCTTCTTCCTGTAGGTGACATCCAACCATCCCCAAAGCACAAAAACCTCACGGCCAGTCTGTGGCAACTGAGAGAGGGAAATGTTCTGGGGGCAACAGGACTCGGGGTACACCCTGGACTAGAGGCTGCCCACCCAGACTATGCCTTGGGTTCCCCATGCCCAGGGACAGTGGAGGTCTGCCTTCCACTGAGGATGCCCATTAGGAAAAGGACATGGCCCAGCCCAGCCCCCGTGATGCCCCTCCACCCCCCACAGACGGGCCTCCGCAGTCCCCTCATTGCCCTGCTCACTCAACTCACTCATGAGAAAGGTAAGGACGGGGTGGGGAAAACAGATGTTTGGTTTTCTGGACTTGCTGAGCAACTTAGCCCCCAACCCTCTCGTTGTAGTTCTTACGATCTTCGTAAGATGGTACGTTGACCCCTGTGGCACTGTTTGTAATAGCAAATCACTGGAGGAGCACAAGGAATACTATTTGGTCATGAAAAAGAACCAGGCAGCTTTCCATGCACTGCTCCAGACAGCTCTCCATGACCCGAAACAGCAGCAGCAAAGAAGGGAGGCACAACTCCGCGTGGGAGAGCAGCACCCCAATTGTCACGTGGGGGGGCAGGGCAGACTCCCACCGCCCTGAAACGGAACAGCCAAGTTGCCTCCGGAGACAGAACCAGGTGGCCAGGGGACAGGACTGGGAGGACACCTTCCCCTTAGACCCCGTGTGTGTGTTGCATGTAGAATCATGCAAACGTACCACCCGCTTAGAATCTTCCCGAGTCCAAGCATCCGCCCCCTTTCCTACTGTGTCAACAGCCCCTGAAAACTAACCCAAGTTCTCCTTGCCTTGGAGCGCACAGAGCATGAAAACAACACCCCCAAGAGTGTGGATGGTTAATTTCAAACGTCTGTTATTTTTTTAAGGCCCGCTAAGGGTATTACGGTCGCAGGGGTGGGCTGGTGTTTAAGAGTCTGTCATTCAGAGCAGTCTCCCCAGTGCTTTGGGGGTATAAGCCTTTGTTGGGGGGCTGTTCTGTGCACTGAAGGATATTTAGCAACAACCCCCACCCCTACCCACGAGATCCCAGGAACACCCCTTCCCCAGTTGTAACAACCAAAAATGTCTCTAGATGCAGCTAAATGCCTCCGGGGGGCACAAGTGTCCCCAGTTGAGACCTGCGGTTTTGGAGAAGCGTCCTGAAATACTGAGGGGTGCAGCGGGAGGAGGTCCGGCGTTTGCTTCAAAAGAACTACCGCGGGAGCACATGCAGGAAGAAAGGACAGCGGCCGAGCACGGGCACCTCTGAGCCACGTGTACAGAGGGGCTCACAGCCCTATTTGTTTCATCTGCGTCCGAAATGTCCGTATTTAACACATTTTTAACAATGCAACAAAACAAAATAGGCAGCACCCCTGGGTCATCTGCCTGAACAGAAGTGCCCTGAATGTGGAGCCGGAGCCGGAGCAGGTGGGGGGGAACGGGGGGCCGGGGCCTGCCCCACCCGCCTGCCGTCCCAGCAGGCCCTCCAGAGAAGACGGGTTGCTTGTCAGCTTCCCTCTGTGCCTGGTCCTCAGCAAGGAGTGAGGACCACACACCCAGGAACCCACTTTCTTCCTCATTAGAAGACCCCTGTCTCCTCCTTCTGATGTTTCCTCCCAACAAAGTGCTCGAGTCAAAAGGGACTGCGCACAGCAGAGGAAGCCCAGGGGGGTCCCAGGGCCCCTCACACGGGCAACTTCTCACTCATCCCTCATGCCTCCTGCCTCCTCTCCGGTTCAGGCATTCAGCATGGGCAGGGACAGCAGACGGACAGACGGATGTCCGGGGATCAGGACCCAGGCCCCCAGGCCCATGGCAAAGGGTGGGAGGGCCAAGCATGGGGTTGGGCACGCTTAGCCTGCAGGGGTGCCCTGGTCTCAGATTTCAGGAGCCCAGGAGGGGGCCCTGATCTGCCCCCCCAACCATTCCTGACACCGTGGAACGAGGATCCAGCCCTGAGATGGTTGGGAGGGAGGGGACAGCTTCCTGAGTAGGGTCAGGGGATGATAATCCCTGGCCAGCTCCTCCTCCCCGTCCAAAGGCTCCTCAGCTCCAGGCCCTCTGAGTTTCTGACTCCAGGCCCTCTGAGTTTCTGAGTGGGGTGGTTTCAGCAGAGATTTGGAAGCTACAGTGCTCAGGTTCAAATCCCAGCTCAGCCACCCAGCAAGTTACTTCACCTCTCAGGCCTCAGTTTTCTCAGCTGCAAAATGGGAATAATTATAATACCCTGTCTCATAAGGGCGTGAGGGTCACATTTTCGTGGACTGCTGGCAGGCAGTAAGCACTTAGAAGGTTAGCTCTTAAGTAGGCTATTACCCCTCCTGCTATACTGCCCTTAGCCCTCTATCCCCACCCCACCCCCGCCCCCCTCCAGGTCCCGCCCCCAGGGCTCTCCCAAGGCAGTGACTGCTGTGCTCCTGGCGTGGGGCGCCCCCTCCTGGAATGCTGACCCTCCAAGGCCCTCCGCCCCTCTGTCCCCACCCAGGCCAGCAGTGCATGGGCAGCTGCAGGGACCCCCTGGAGGGGGTGACTGGGACAACCTGGCCCAATGGGGCTCTGACTGATGTCTCCTCAGCGCTGTCTCAGCAGCACAACTGGAGCCCGAGACGAGGGGTTTAACATCCTCCTCAGAGAAGTCCCCTCCTCTCACAACAGCGGCATGACCAGGGTGGGGGCAGCCACACCCCCGCCAAGGCCAGCACAAGTGTCAGCCACAACCTGGATTCCAGGAGCACCCGACCCACCACAGCTGGCCTACTCTCAATCCGTCTGCCTGGCTTCCTCGCACACAGGGCCCCTGTCGCTGCCTCCAGGCAGCCCTCCCTGCGCTCCAGAGAGCCTACTCCCACAGCACCCAGTAGGGCTGCTCCAGGGGCACCAGGCACGCCCTCCTGGTATGAGAATGCCTAGTCTGTGTATCAACTCAGCAGGCATTTTAAGGCACCCCCATCGTGCTGGGCAAGGGTACTCGTGGAAACACAGAGGAAAGTGGACAGCCTCACCTGAAAGGGGCAGGTGGGGGCACCCCAGAGTGACACACAGTGTGGTACTGGAGTTGGCACCCCGCAGAACCTCCGCTTCCAGAAGGGATGAGTGACTGAGGGGAGGGAGGGAGGGAGGTAATGAAAAAATCCCTCCCTCCCTCCCTCCCTCCCTCTCTCTCTCTCTCTCAGGCTTCTGGAGTGACAAGGAGGTCCGTGCCACGTGGGGAAAGACAAAAGCTGCTTCCGGGTGTGAGCAACAATGAAGATGAATGCCAAGTGCATCTGTCTGTGTGTGTGTGTGCGCGCGCGCATGTGCGCCCACGTGTGCATGCACGTGCTCCGGCATGTGCCCCGAGCACAGGAGCGTACTGTACCTCCATTCATTCCTCCTCGCAATCATCACTAAGCACCGCCAGCCCGCTAGGCATAGTTCTCAGTGCTGGCGATAGACAGGGGGGACACCGTCCCCATGGGGCTCCCAATCGAAACACAGGCAGGCAAGGAAAAGGTGATACCACGCTGTTAGATGGGATTAAGAGTCCATGAGAAAGAACAGGGCAGGGGACCGTTAGAGGGGCCAGAGGAAGTCTCTCTAATGAAGTGACGTCTGAGTCAAGACCTCAAGGAGGAGAAGGAAGGAGCCATGCGGGTATTTGAGGGAGGGCATTTCAGGCAGAGGAAAGAGCCAATGCGAAGGCCCAGGCGCATATGTGTGCGTGTGTGTGCACACGCATGTGTGTCCAGGCACACACACATGTATGGAGAGCCTGAATCTGTTCTCAGGCTGCCCCAGGCCCGTCAGCAGTGCCACATACCTACCTACATGTGGCAAAACCAGCAGACACACAGGCAGTGCCCCAGGGCGCCCACAGCGCAGTCTCTGGTTCACTGGCTCCCGGACTAGCAGAATCTAGGGACTCTCCTAGAGCAGCTAGTCCCCGTCCCACACCATCCAGAGGAGGAGAAGGGGGCTGGGAGGTGGGACACCCCCAGCATGTGACGGCCAACCACAGCACAGTCCCCCGAAAGCCGATACTTCATTCAAGGCTGTTTAAAACAGTCAGGGATGAAGCCTCCACCTTGACCTCTGCAAGGCCTGCAGCACCCTGAGGTAGCCACATAGCTGGGTGCCCATGGCCAT